GCCACATATAAGCGAACCGGCATTTTTTCTTTTTTTTTTTGTTAAGTGAAGTGTTAGTTTTATTTCATACTCTGAACGCCCATTTAAATATCGCGATAGTTATGTGTGAGTTTTTATTCTTTTGCGGCAAAAGAATGCAACCGCATGGTCAAATTTTAATTCCTCATTTTTTTCTTTAACTCCGTTATTTTGCCTTCTCCTACATATGCTTTCCATTGGCATATATTCTTTACTCTCCTTCTCTCCTGCCATGCTCCGAAATTCGGATCGCAATTTTGCTGGTGAGAGCCAAACTTTTAAGTAATTCGAAAAGCAACGTATGAAGAGAAAGAGAGAGAATGCAAGTTGCATGAAATTCGAACAAAATAGTTTTTATCCAGTGCTTTCTTTTTTTTTATAATTTTTTTTTCTGTGAAATTCGAAGTGAATTTTTTTTAACAGCAGATCATCGTACTTAACATTGATGGGAGGGCTTTCGGAGATGAATGCACGTAAGTGAAGTAAGACTCTTACATTTTTATTTATGGCACTTCTATTTATGTGATTAAGAGAATGGCCGAATAAAACGACAAAAAAGAAATTGAATAATCTAAAGTTCCGTTAAGGAGCAAACGAATAGCGTTAAAGAGAAAATATTAAGAGATAAACCTGCTTAGTTCAATTGAGCTCTAAAGCTAAAATAATTTCTGCCGAACAAGAAAAAACATAACATATTCAAAAATTCCTTGTCTATATATATTATACATTTTTTATTATTATTTCTTTTTCCTAGTATTAAGAATCTATAATGCCTAAACAAAATTTCTATTGAAGTCCTCAATCTCCCATTATAGTTATGTGCTAATTTGCCTTGTTTGTGTTAGATGCGTCGTCGGAATGTTGGGATAATTTAGTTGGTGTTGTTTTAGGGATCATCGACCAATTGTCTGGGCAAGATCAATTTAGTACAATTTTCTTTAACCCTGTCGATTTTTTCTAAACCCTAAATTTTGTTATTGCAATCGAACTTGACAGCTTAAAAGCACGCGAATTTTTGTATTTAATGATTAAATGCCTGCGAGTAGGTAGTCCGGCCGTATCCTATTTAACCCACTCCAGCCGACGTCAGTGTTACAAGCCCGTAAAAAACGAGCTCTGAAAATATTTTCAATGAGCAACAGAGACAAAAGATATTTTTGTTTACAACCAATTCAAATATAGAAAACATAATATTGACTAAATTGTTCCCCTTGATAGTAAACAAATATATATAGTATATCGGATATAAAACTTATTCGTATTCTCTATTAACATTTGCCCTTTAAAATACCACATTTTAACATTTAAGCCCAATTATGAGGTTGACCTCTATTGCATATCTCAATCTCGACTTTTACTCAGCTGCGTTTGATTTTCCAGCACCTTTTCATTAATATCAAATAATTTCCATATTGTTTTGCCCCATTTCGGCCCACTTAGAACTTGTTAATTTACAAACACGCAATGTAATTTCCTGCTTAATAATAAATTATGCCAACTATTTATATGATAATTAGACAGCCCCTAAAACAGACACTCACCTTTTATATGTATATGTATCCATGTATATATGTCATAAGGCCAATTTTTCTATTTTTTGTTTTAATTGTTTTGGTATGCCAAGGCCAGGGCCAGTCGAGCGTTATGTAATGGCCCACCTGTGCTGTGTCATATGACGTTAGCGAATCCTTAGAGCTACATTAAAGGACACTGACCGCTGTGCGGGTCAGGCTAGGCGCTGTCCGAGCTCGGAAGCCGTTCAACTGCTTGTGACAAATCCCTTGGCAGAGAAATGCTGAAAACGAGCAGTAGACACAAGCATTTACCCCTAATTTCCTTAATTAAAAATTTAATGAGGCTTTCAACTAAAAATAAACACGCTGCGGGGCAGGGCCACACAATTTGAACACCTGTTGGCGCCGCAAAACTCTTTGGCAAGTTTCCCATGAGGTTTTAAGGATTGCCGTCGCGCCGACACACACACAAGCGCACACACACGCACACAGAAAGGGCCCGGGCCGAGCTGAAAGGCAAACAATGCGCAAATTGAAATGTGTTTGCCAAATCACTTGCCACGCCCACAAGCAGCCCGACCTCAGCGCCATCAGGACAATGTGCGGCGCTGAAAGGTTGAAAAAGAGCGGAACCAAAGCTTGTTTTTACAATGTGCCTGAAAGTAGGCAACGAATTTTTGCGGCCAAGCAGTTGCGTGTGCTGTGTGTGTGTGAGTGAGTTATGCATGTGTGTGTGCGCGCATGTGTGGCGTATAATTGAGTGGTCGTCGCCAAGTATCCTGTTTTGCATAGCAGTCGCATGTCATTAGCAGGCAGCTTCGCCAGCTGTTTGAAATTGACATGGCTTCCACGGGTCCAATATCGCGTATACGCAATGTCGCCCAAAACCTACAACCAGCCCAACTTGGCCCGCCTCCAGGCTCAGCGGCAACGACTGTCGATTGTTTGACTTTCGGGTTGCCAGCCAGGATTACATGTCTCGAGCACATCAAACAAGTTTACTTACCAATGACCTCGTTAATGACAGAGACACACACACACACATAAACCGCTTGAAGTACGGCAATTTGTGTGTGTGTGTGTGTGTGTGTGTGTGCATTAGGGGTTGTGTGCCTGCATGTTGTTGAGTTTACTTTGTAATTTGCGCTTATCAGATTTATTTTTATTTTTGATTTTTTAGCTGGTGCCCAAAGCACATTGCAAACAAAACAATGCTTATTTCTCGTGCGCCGAATATATAAATACACTTTATTGTTATGGAAACTCTAAAGTGAAATACGTGTTCTATATCTCTGACTGATTGATTGATTGACTGACTGACAAACCAAACCGTAAAGGCTAAGAAGCTAATTATTTTTAACTTATGTGATGAAGGTGCACGCTAAGACGGGCTTTTTTTTGGGACATTCTACCCACATAGTGTGGAAAAATCGAGAAAAACGTTTGAATGAAACGTTTTTGTTTCATTCCTCCTCTTTATACAAGGTGCTCAAAGATTTGGTGACGTTTCGGTTGAGTTATGACCGAAATATGGGAGTGGGATATTAAACAGACGTATAATAAACATATCTAACATATGTCTTATTATATTTAACAAATATTGCCATCGTATGTATGCATGTTTGATGTATGTATGTGAAGACATGTACATGTATGTATGTATTTAAAGATGTGTGTAAATTGAGCTGAGCTCAAATTGAATAAGAAACATATTCAAAAATATTGCTCTACAACGCGATTCTCACGAATTCAAGTTAAGTTTATCTCTAAATATAAAACTGATTGGTGATCACTTTAAAATGGAAAATATTTTGTTTTTTTTTTTATTAAGACACATGCTCAATACATATTTTAGTATTAAACCATATCCAAGTTGCGGTCAATTTCGCCTTTGAATTCAATATTTTGCTTAGCAACCATTCGAAGAGTATTCCCAACGAGCTGAATAAATAAACTAAATCATAAACAGGAAATATGCTCAGTATACGTAATCAATTATAAGCAATAGACTTATGCAATGCCATATACTCAATCATGGTCATATGGCGATATAGTCACACAGTAACACGATATGGTGAATGAAAAACAATCAAATGCTTGTGCTTAAAGCTCAAATAACACGAACCCAACAAAAATGCTGACGTCGTCCTGTGGCCTTTGGCCGTGCTTCTGTCACAGTTCCACAGGCACAATTAAAGTAATTACCGCGCCGCTGGCACTATAAAAATCGCTAATACTCTTTAATAAATGACTCGCGTCGATAATTACCAATGACATTACTGTGTGCACCGAAAGGGGGGTTTGGAGAGGAGTGTGGAGGGGAGGGGTGGGGTTTTATCCTGTTCATTAATGGTTATGAGAAGAAAAGTACACATTTGTGGCAAATTGATAATGTATTTGTATTTAGCTCATCATCATTATCATCATTCCGATTGCGATCATTATCGTAGTCATTCATCATATACACATACATATATATGTGTATATATAACGGTTAACACATGCTCTATAATTACATAAACTAATTTTAATTAACTATTAATTAATTGGTCGAGCGCTGGCAACGTTTACTTTGCTATCTTTATAATTTGTATTTGGTTTACTTTAGTTAAAGGAAAAATTTGTGGCTTCTTTTTTGGGTTTCTCTCTTTCTTCTTTTTTTTTTTTGTCTAACAAAATCAGCTTAAATTAAATTTAAATAATACTTGTGTGTGTGTGTGTGTGTTTGTGTATAATAATTATATCGTAGAGTATTTGTGTATGTGGAATCAACGCAAATCAAATTTACATATTCAAAGGAATTTCGCTAAAATCAAACTTAACAGTGCATTAGCTAAGGTTTACAATAGGTTGGTTCTTAAACTAATTCCAAATACATTTCACTACAGATAATAGATATTTAATAAATATTTATTAAAAATAAATATATATAATTCTTAGCTTTTTTTCTAAATATTTTTGGTATCATTTTCGAGCCTTTAAATTTTAGATTTGGAATTGTTTACGCTCAAATTAAGTGTAGAATTTAAAAAAAATGACAAGCTAGGAATTTTTGAATTAAAACCAAATTTAAAATAAAAGTTTGGAAAAGTTTTGGTAAAGTTCAAGCTTAAAGTAAAATAGTAAAAATAGTATAAAAGTAAACTTAAAAAAACTAATACAAACAATATTAAAAAATAATAACAATATTAAATATGCCCAATGTTGGCTTCTGCAAACTTAAAAAAAAATTAATTAAAAAAAGATTTCCATTCTGTGAAGCTTGGCAAGATTAGTGTATTGAATAATCTATATATTAATTCCATGATTTAGTTTCTTGTTGAATTCTTCATGTAAAACAAAAGTAGACAGTAGTATTTTTTTTTGGAACAGTTAAATTTTTTTTAAAATTTTAAATATGCCTAGTTTTTTTTTAGAACCAACCCAGTTAACAATATGTCACATAAAAATATTTAATTATTTAATTTTTTTTGTTGTTGCATTGTGAGAGGAACAATTTTTTTTGGGCTCGTCTGGCCTTTTTGGTGTATTTTTTTGTGTTTTTATTTTTTAACATTTATTTAAAAATTGTTTAGGTGTAAACTGGAATTTGCTTGCTATTAACTAAAACATTGACTAAACTTTAATTGAACCTACTTCGACAACCCGCAACCCGCGCACTTCTCTAGCTATGCGACTTGCAGAGGCGCAAAAGCAGAGGATAGTGAAGATCCTCGTCGTAGAGGGCCGAGTCCGCCTTGAGCTGCAGATGACGCTGCCAGATGGTCTCGTTGTAGCGTGTGGCAAGGTCAACGCGAAAGCCACGCGCCACACACTCATCCCGGAACACATTCAGGGTGCGACCGCGACGGGGCGCCATTATGAGTGCCACACCCTGCGGCGCCAAATAATACCAGATGGTATCGACCAGCGCCGATCTGGCCTCATCGAAGAACAGACAGTCCGCACACAATATAAACTCAAATTTGGACTGTTCGGCGGCGGCGCGTACCGCTGCCTCCTGCCACTTGAGGACGGAGCATTTGGTGTAGCAGCTCAGCTCGTTGAGGCAAACAGTTTTGCGGACATTCTCGACGCTCACCTCATTGCCGTCGGTCAGATGCACCGCATAGGGCTTGGCATATTTGGCCAGCATCAGGCCCGCCAGCGAGGTGAAGCCGCCGCCCAGCTCCAGTATCCACTTGCCGCGATATGCGGCCAAATCCGATAGCACCAGCGCGGTGAGCGCCTCCTCCGACGGCCAGACGCATATGTTGCCCGTATTATTGAAGCCCATCAGATCGCTGGCCGTCAGCTGGCGGTCCATATGATGTATGTTCACCGAGTACTCGATGTCGTTGTGCAGCTGCATCCGATACTTGTACCAGTTCTCCGTCTTGCCCAGACACTTCAGGCTCACATGATCCTCGAAGCTATCCTGGCGCAGCAGGTCGAAGCTCTTGAAACGGCGCACGGAGGCGGTTTGCTCCTCGCCAAATTCATCGCTGGACGAGCTGACAGTTTCCTCGGAATCCTTGCGCAAGACCTTGGCCAGAATGCGCCAACGCTTCTGTGCCGTATTCTGTAAATTGGGCGTGGCAGGCGGCGTGGGCGGCATAAAGGGGGCGTTGGCAACGCCCAAACACGATTTGCCCGTCACAATGTTCTCCACCTCCAGCTCGAGGCTGGGACTGACAGCTATGCTGGCGCTCTGTGCGGGCATCTCCAAATTGTTGTCCTCGTCCGAGTTGTTCCTGTTCCTGTTCCTGTCGTTGTTCTTGCTGATGGTTGTCTGTTCCATTAGCGCATTCCGCTGTTGCTCTTTGAGCGCATTCAGCGTATTATCGATATCGTATTGCAGCATCTGCGATATGCTCGCAATATGTTTTCCACCTGCCACGCCCACAACAGCAATTGCCTCGTTTGCCCTCGTTGGCTTCTCCTGCTCCAAATTGCTGCTGTTCAGTTTCGTTAGTTTGTTTGACTTCTTTTGTACTAAATTTGCTGACATTTTCTCAGGTTCCGTTCCGACTCGCTTACAGTTTTCCGCCCGGCTACTTCATGCTTTATGCTGCAAAAGAAAATTTATAGAATTTCGTTTAAACAAAGCAAAAGATAAAAAATATATTTATGGATTTACGTGGCAGCAGCTGTGGCAACTTTTCAAATTAACCGCCAACAACTTTTGCCTCTTGACTTGCCACAATCCTCACTCACTTGGCCCATTATTTTGCAATTATAAATTTTTAATGGGTTTCGCAATGCAAATTGTTTGCCCATAAACGAAGCAAAGGCAAAAAACAATAAATCTTCAGCTAATCTTTAGGGCGTCAATATGCAACAACAACAAGAAAACAAACAATATTTTACGGGGCAGAAATTCGAATAACCTAGCTGAAGTTTGTAGAAAGAGTTGAAGATATATTCAAAATAATAATTATAATAGATAATGATGCACAATAGTTAGAGTACATTAGTTGAATAATATATAAAATATAATATAATATTTTATTAAAATATTTTTTATATTATAAGCTGGCTCGAGGTCCAGGGTTTTATTTACTAAAATCAAAAAATAAATCAGAAATTGAATTTTAGACTTCTTTAAATAAATCTTTTCAATATTGACAGACATAAATTAATGTAAGCATATTTATTAATATTTCATAAATATTATATAGTAATATAATATTTCATGATTGAAAAAAAAACCATTTAAATAATACTCCCAATTCCCTCAGCTAGTGCATATGGGACAGACATCTCGATCGAAAAATTACCTTGTTAATTACAATTTGAAAATGATAAAATAGCTAAAAATTTGTAAATAAAATTGAATAACAAAAGTTGAAAACATGCATTGCATTTGCATATATTCGAAATACAGCTGCCTAAATTTGTATATTTGTTGTTCTTGTTGTTGGTCATATAAATTCATCAAAATTAAGACTTTTTACAGCTCATAACAAATTTTAATTGTGCTGACGTGGGGCGAAAAAAAACACACATATATATATAAATATATAAACAATGGGGACTCGCCGTTTGACTGGCTGATTAAGGGAACAAAGGGGGGAGCTACTGAGGGGGGAGGGTGGTGGGTGGTGGGTGGTACTTGAGAGTCAGACAACAGCACAAACATATGGAGCCTGTTGGCGATAAGAAGCCGTTCGATTCTGATTAAAGAGTGGGCGGCAGGTGGGGCGGCTGCTTGGCCGGGTTGGGTGGGTGGTTGCCCGGCTGACCCACGACACCTGCGTGCCACGGGGAATGTGTAATCAAAGTCAACGCAATTAAAATTCAGAGAAATCTGCGTATGTGTGAGAGTGTGTGTGTGTGAGTGTGTTTGTGTGTGTGTGTTTGTGTGGGGGAGTCAATGTGTTCGCCGAAGAATGCGCTGTTATTATCCCGAGCATTCACTTAAAGCGGATGTTGAATGCGGAACAAAGTGGATGCGAGTCTTCATGTGTTCATGTGTGTGTATGTATGTATGTATGTATGCATGTTTGTGTATGTGTGTGTGTGGGGCTGGTTTCGCTGTAAGCGCTGCGGGGCTTCATTCATCATAAAACCATTTGAAAGCCAAAGGAAGCCAGAGCCAACGGCCATGGCAGCACTTAATTGGCGCAGTATAAAATTCACTTGTTTAGTCGAAAATCATTTTTTAACAAATATTTTTTTCTGTTTTTTAAATTTGTAGCAAAAATATTCAAGCGAAGGTCGAGTTTAGATAAAGCATTTGAATTTGATAAGCGCAGCTCTCGGCGTATACTTTTTGGCTTATCACAAAGCGCTGGGAAAATGTGATAAAAAAAGCGCTTAAATTGTAAATTGTTTTTACATATTACGCATACGCCGTGTTGCTGGGGAGGAACGCAAATGTGGCAGGTGCTTGAGAATACTGAATACTCTTTTGGTAGCTCTTTTAGAGGCTTAAGTTTAAAAAGCAATATACAAAATATTCAGCACTGTTATACAGAGTTGTTATACTAAACTGTCAAGCGTTGTAGGCATCTTTGATAAGCTCATAAACTGTTATAAATATTCTTTTAAATAATATTTGAATAATAAATAAAATATGTCCATTAAAATCTGTTATATAACAAAACTGTTATATGTTTTTCTGGACATATTTGAATTCTTAATGATGTGGGATTTTTTCTTAAACTGTTATACAACAAAACCATTATATATAATTTGTTTTAGAAATATTTGAACAATAAATATAATCTATTACAAACTGTTATATAAACTTTTGTTATATATATACATATTTTATGTATTCAGTATTTCAATATAATATATGTTGTACATAAAATATTTGTATACAGCTGACTAAATGGTCGAAGTTTTCTTCGATATTTTGTCAAATTTCTCAACAATGTGGAAAACTGTTCTACAAGAATATTAAAGAATAACAATGAAATAAGGACTGAACACAAGTTTACGTGGTTGTTCAATGATTTGTTCTCAATATTGGTAAAAAGTGGAATTCGTAAAGAACTGAAGCTAATATCAGAAAGTTAGAATATTGAAGAAATTAACTTCAAACTATTCTTGGTTTCTTTACTAAATTCTAACATATGATAATGTTGTTAAAGATGAACTTGAAAGCTCATTTCTAAGAAGAACAACAAGTTGCTCTGTAATCTGATGAAAAGAAAACACGCTATAAGCTTCAAACTTTTCAATAGTTTGTGAAAAATGCACAATATTGTTGCCAAGTGTTATACGAAACTTAACAGCTCATAGTTCAGAAAGTATGGCAGTAATCAAGCTTAAAGTTTTTGAATGTGAAACAAAAGAAATAAAACAACAATAAATGCTGAAGCATTTCAATAATTTCCCCCCTAGCTGCCCCGCCCGCAAATGGGGCCATATAGGAGAATGCCAACTAAATTGAATTTGATAAGACGCGCACTTGATCAAATATTAATAACTTTTGAGGAACTCCGCAATCCACTCGAAAAGTTTTTGCCAGCGGCCGAAAACTTGCTTTAATGCGCAGCCAAAAATGTTGATTTTCATATCACAAAAAACATGAATAAATATTGAGCAATTGACGAGGTAGAAAGTTATTTGAACACGAAAACTTGCGAGTTTGAACTACAGCAAAATCTGCGGCGGGGTCGTGGTAAACAAGTTAAATCCCTGGGTAAACTTTAAATGCCGGTTAAGAGCACACAAAAGTACAATAAAACCGAAAAATTGTTTGCCGTGTTTGCATAATGCGACGGCAAGCCTGGCCATATCCGAGATAGCCCGGCTCGGCTCGGCCCGGCCCGTATCTGGCTGCCAGCCAACACCTGCCGGAGGCCAGCGGGCATTGGAGCTGCCTAAAAGCATATACATATTAACTGAATTTGCAAGTACAATGGGCTGATTGAGGGGGGAAGGGGGGCGTGGTTGAGGGTAATTTAAAGTTTTCGTTGCGTGCGAAAGCAGAGCATTCAATTCAATCACTCGAGCATGTGGCAACTGTGACGACAAACCGCTGCCGGAGCCAAAATAAAGTTCAGGTCAAAGAACAAAGCGAAACGGGTTCTCCTTTTGACACACACACACACACACACACCCCCCTACCGCTGCGGAAAAACTTGGCTCTGACTGCGGCTGAGTGACGTGCGTAAAAGTAACGCAATGTGGGCTAACTTTTGCCCAGCCCCCTTCTACGCGTCCATCCGCACCCCCGCCCCCCTTCCCCCCCCTGTTCCTGTTCATTTGCTGTTCCGTGTCAACGATGCCGCAGCACGCAAACTTACATGGTTCACACGCACACACTCACTCACACACACACACTCACTCATACACACACACAAACAAAATTTGTATATATGTGCACACAGCAAAAAATCGAAGTATTTGATCTCAAATCAAGCCTAAACGAGCTCCAAATTAAGTTTGAAATTTCTTCAACTAATAACTAAACACTTCAAGAACTATTTTTAAGTCAAAAATGCATAAAAAGAACCTTGAACAGCTTTTCTTAAGCTTAAATAGAAGAAATACAAAATTCAAGTACAGTACTTAACTTAAGCAGCTTTTAACTTTCTTTTGCAATGACTTTCACTTAATTTAAGCACAAAATTCTTGTTAATAGATTATTTTGCCAAATTCATGTTGACTTTCTCCAATTAGAGCTTTTTTAAACCCAAAATTTACTGGAAGCTTTTCTTTAGTGCACAGTATTTTCTCTCAGTGTATGTGGCTTTTATGTACATATGCTGCGTACTTTGCCCATTGCTCGCATAAACTCTTACAATTCATTATTTATTACTTTCACTGTCATGAAATTTGCTCAGCTTTTTGGATTTTATTTTTTTGGTAGCTAACCTTGAAGCCATCAGCGACAAAGCGACAGTGTGTCACACACACACACTCACACACACATACGCTTTGGCAAAGATAAAGTCTGTGAATCTGACTATCAAGGGTTCTGCTAACGGCGCTAAGCAGATAATAAAATCTAACATAATTACGAGCTGCCAGAAATGTTGAAAACTTAACAAATCGAATTTTGAATACTCTACCGATAAAGAATTGTGCTGTTGTCTTCGCTTTAGCAACTTGTTTGACTTTGATAAAAGATCTGTGATTTATAAAATACATGTTAAATTAAATTTGAATTTAATTTTGACAACTTTGATTTAATACCCTTGATTTCAAACGTAGAGCTGATTGTTATACTTATTAGTCCGCTTTTAACCGTTTAATCCGAAGATAACTTTATTAAGAAAGCTTCTAAATTGAGGATCTATTTGGAATATATACATATGTTTTTAATCTTACGTGGCTTGGCATTCATGAATGATTTATAAAATGTGTTGATATCTATGTAATTATGTGGAATATGTCACATTATATATATGTATATATACATATATACTTCCGGGATCACGAATATATTTATATATATAAAGTATGGACTTTGGTATAGGGCCTTGCCCTTTGTTGTACCCTTTGTTTTTTTGTTCACCTTGTTTTTGATGGTGGTAGCTTTTTATCTCCCTCCTTAATAGCCACGCCCATAATTGTTAAACTCAAAACTCGTAAAACTTCAGTCTTAA